TATGATGGGTGTTGGACTGGATGACCTAACCTCTCTGTCTTGTCTCCTCTTTTTTCTCGCTAGGATATTGGAAGTATCTTCAACAGGTATGAGGCTGTTCTTCCTGTTGACATTTCTCCACCCTTCACAGATGGCAATTCTAGTAATGTTCTGCATGCATGCCAGGATCAAAAGCAGTATGTTTCCTGCTTGGCAGGGGGTTGGACTCGATGGCCCTTGTGGTCTCTTCCAACTCTATGATTCTATGTCTCAGTGGGAGAGTGTGATGGTGGCAGCCTTCTCTGGTGGCAGCCTTCTCTAAATCTGCTTAGGAGGGAATGCTTCCTTTTTTATATATACAACATTTTTAATTATTTTTTTCCAGTTTGTACATCTCAAAATAAACGTTTTACATAATGCCATGAAACAATGGACTTAACCTCCTTCGCTTTTCATGGTTCATTTTACTTTCCTCTCGTTCCTGCATATTTTACTATAACCAATCTAATCGTTTCTCGTTTTGCATCCTCCAAATATTTACCGTGCTGTTGAAGTTATCTAAATACTACCAGCGTTTTCAATTGTACGGTTATTTTCTAATTATTCAAGGGGGGATTCTCTTTGAATAAAGATTCTTCTTGCTCTCTTATTCTATAAATTAAGCCTGCTGCTTCCACAAATTCTATCACCTTAAGTTGCCAACCTTCCTTACTAGGGATCTCGCTCACTTTCCATCTTTTGGCTTGGACTACATAGGCCGCTGGTCTGATTTACCGGGACGCTTCTTGCATCCTTCCCCATCTACCTAGAGTAGAATTTTCACTAGCATGTTTCCCTAGCACACGCCCAACCCCACCCCCAAAGTTGCAAATCCATTGGCCAAGGTTCTAGTTCACCTTCCGTCAGCTTGGCCAGCTGTTTACACTATGTAGATGCATTCTGCGCCTGATGTTCTGAGAAGCTGCGAGTGAATAAAGATTTCTTTTCATGCGGTTTCCTGTTTGTTAAACCTCTAGGTGCAAGAGGGGCAAATTTCAGTTTCCTACTCCACCTGATTCTTCGGAGCTCAGTTCAGTGCTTCAGGAGTTCTCCAAAGAGAGTGCTTCACTGCAGGGCAAACTGAGGAAATTCAGAGGTACTAAATGGGTTTTTGAAGCTGATTGCTGGGGTGGAAATTTTACTGTTGTTCTTATTTAGCTCTTTATCCAGGCGATCACTGAACGCTTTCAATCAATCACATTTCGCCTTTGTACAATACCCACCATTAAAATACAGGGGGCTGGATTCAGAATAACTTGGTAATTCTTTAGTGGTTGAAATTGTTGGGATTAGTTTATGATTACTAACTTGTCCCTTTGATTTCAAGGATCTTAATGCATGACGGCCTGGATCCATAGGGCTACAATATTGTGAGCTTGATAGTTTACTTGCTATCTGCTAATAATAATAATAATAATAATAATAATAATAATAATAATAATAATATCATTGCTGTAAATGTGCTCCAAGGCTTGATGCCTACAAAGGAGAGAGAAATTAGAAGTGCAACTGGGTAACTGTAGATTTCCAAAGTGATAATACTCCTAAGGCTTTAGAATGGTGCATGTGAATTAATGGTGTATTAATATACGAAGTTCATTTGTTGCTAAATATAACACATTAACGAATCATAGAAGTTTGCATATGCTTATCCTCCTTTTCTTCCTCTAGAGACTTTGGATGAACAAAAGTGGATAAATGGTAAGTCCCTACAGATTCTGGATATCTCACCATAAAGATGGATTCATGCCTTTTTGTATTTAAAAAAAAGAAAAGAGGCAACCTGTGGTTTTCTATATATTGTTGGACCACAACTCTCCTCTTTCTCAGCCATGCTGGCTGAGACTGATGCGAGTCTCCAATCGGGAGGAATGCTCAATAAATAGGCCGCCTTCAGAAACAACCATCTGCAGCAGATGAACAGTTACTTGTTTTATACAGTGGTCTTTGGGAAAGGTTCATGGAGCTTGGCTCCATGCCTGACGGTTGCATTTGATCTCTTGCAGAGAACGTGACCCTGGACCCCATGACGGCTCACCCTCGATTTGTTGTGTTTGATGGTCAGAAAGCTGTCGCATGGGGATCTGTCCGCCAGGAGCTTCCCTACAGCACCCGGCGATTTGACCCCACCCGCTGCGTGCTTGGCTGTCAAGGATTCACCTCGGGGAAGCATCACTGGACAGTGGATGTGAGCAAGGGAACTTTCTGGGCTGTGGGTGTAGCCAAAGAATCTGTGAAGAGGAAAGGACAGCTGAATATCGTCCCCGAGGAGGGAATCATGGCTGTGGGTTTTAACAACGGTCAGTACAAAACCTTAACGTCGCCCCCAACCATTCTGAACCCAAGTAAACACCCTCAAAAGATTCAGATCCGTTTGGACTATGAAGGAGGAACGGTGGGGTTTTTTGATGCGGAAGAAAACAAGCGCCTTGTTCTCTTTAGTGTCAAATTTGTGTCAAAAATATTTCCTTTCTTCCGAGTTGGGGACATGAACACTGTGCTCCGCCTGTGTTAAATTATATCTGTTCTTCTGTTGGACTTGGGTCTTTGGCCTTTCCAACAGTGAAGTAGTGTCAACATAACCCTCTCTGGCTGTAACACACAATACTGAGCTTCAACGCGGTTAATACGACAGCTGCTTTTGACTTGCCTTAATTCCCTTATCAGGTTACTATGTATTCTGAATGGAAACTGGAGCCTAGGCTTAAAGAATGTGGGAGACCCAAATGCATACACCATTTAAAACTATTTCGTAGATATAGCTTCTAGTATGTTTTAGCAACATTTTTGCCTCTCCCGGCTATATTTCCTCGCATTTGGATACAGATTCCAAAGTACAACATTTGTACCCCTCATATCAACTGTGAGTGGTACATCTCTTTTAAACTGCAGCCTCTCAGAAATACACAGAAATGGTGATCAGACAAGAATAGAGATCTAGCTTGCGGACATATTGCTGTGAAAAATGGGAACTGAAAGTGTGTATGTGTGTAGGTACAAAAATCGATATGAGGTGTGTGTACAGGTATATTGCATTTGGATATTTGTAGCCAAATGAAAGCAGTATTGCAAGATAAAGCCAGTAGTTAAGGGTTGAGTGCAGTCAGTTTATCCAAGGTAAGCTGAGACCAAGAAAGACGATGAAAATTGATAAGAAAAGTGGTGCTTTGTAATTTTAACGTGGCAAATACAGGGATACAGGAGATCACCTTGGTTTTCAATTGAGATCTGTTTAGGATGCCTTGTTAACGTACCTTGCAAATTTTTACATTCTGGGAAAATATTTTTTTTTTAAATTGCAGACTTTTTAAAAAAAGTAGAGTAAAAGTTTATCCAAATTTGCGTAAGTATTTTAAGAATTCTTTTTTACTTTTACTTTTTTATATAGAATGCTGGAATGAAAAAGCACAGGTGACAGGAAACGTTTAGGTACTGGGTTGTCAGAATTATTTGCTCTGCCCTGTACCTGTTTGCCAAAACTTAATAAATGCTGACATCTCCTTAAATATGTTGCCGTCCTTTACTCTATAAATACAATATTGGTCAACTTAAAAAGCCATTCTGCAACCTTCTGCAATCGGCTCCTTTTCATTTGGAGGCTGTTTCAGTTCATGCCCCATTTAAAACACTTGCCGTTCTCTCTTTCCTTGAGTGGTTCAGTCTATAACTCACAAATGGAAACTTGATGGATGTTTGCTGCAATTTGGTGGCAAACAGCAGGTTTTCCCAGGGGAAAGCAGCAGTGTGGGTGTGCCCATAGTTAGATTTTTCCAATGTAGGGGTAAAGGTAAAGGGACCCCTGACCATTAGGTCCAGTCGCAGACGACTCTGGGGTTGCGGCACTCATCTCGCTTTATTGGCTGAGGGAGCCAGCGTACAGCTTCCGTGTCATGTGGCCAGCATGACTAAAGCCGCTTCTGGTGAACCAGAGCAGCGCACGGAAACACCGTTTACCTTCCCACCAGAGCGGTACCTATTTATCTACTTGCACTTTGATGTGCTTTCGAACTGCTAGGTTGGCAGGAGCAGGGACCGAGCAACGGGAGCTCACCCTGTCGCGGGGATTTGAACCGCCGACCTTCTGATCAGCAAGTCCTAGGCTCTGTGGTTTAACCCACAGCACCGTAATTAATGGAACGCGGAATCATGCATAACGAGTAGATCTCACCTTAGCACTGAAGAGGCTTTTATTTATGTTCATTTAAACAAATATTCAAGAATAACAACACACCTTTAACTAAAATCTTGGACATAATCACTTTAGGCAAATCAAGAATGCTACAGTATCACTGTCCGCTGTCTTGTTACTCCAGTCCTCTTATGACTCTCAGTACGTCTTGTGTTTGGAGGACGGTTGGACAAATTGCTTTAAAATGAAAACTACCCACACATAGTGAATCCAGTCAGTGGAGGAGATTTGAATTGGTAAACACCAAAGGTGCTCTTGAATGCTTTTACCTGCATGCAATCCAGGGGGAGGCCGACCCACAAATATTCTTCCTTAGCTATCGCATTTGAAGGCAGTGGCATATAATCAGAGCAACACTTCCGTGGTTAACGCTTCCTCTGATATTGCCGCTGTAAGCTGTCAAACTAGCTGCTGATGGTGGCATCACAGAGTGAGGGTCATCCTCTGGTTTTGATTGCCTGTTTTATTCATGCTCAAGGACGCCTTGCAACCTTCATCCTGTCCATTTGCTCCTCTGCGAAGGGATAGCAGTTCACCAGCTGCCCATGCTTTTCCTGCTGAAATTTGATGATGGTGGTGATTTAACTTATATGACGCCCACCTGGCTGGGTTGCCCCAGACACTCTAAGCCAGGGGTCAGCAACCTTTGTCAGCAGTGGGCCGGTCCACCGTCCCTCAGACCATGTGGTGGGCTGGACTATATTTTTTTGGGGGGGGGGGATGAACGAATTCCTATGCCCCACAAATAACCCAGAGATGCATTTTAAATAACATATTCTACTCAGGTAAAAACACGCTGATTCCAGGACCGTCTGCAGGCCGGATTGAGAAGGCGATTGGGCCTTAGATTGCCTACCCCTGCTCTAGACGGCTCCCCACAAAATACTTAAAAGCACAGTAAAACATAAAACCATAGATGCACACCCCCCGTCCCCAGTGCATAAGCAGAGATGACTTTTGAGGTGTCTTCCAAGTCCGCTGTGTCATGCCTTGCTTGCCCAGTAAGCCTCACCCAAGGAAGGTCTCAGGGGCACAGTCGAAGCCAGCATCCCACCCCAACCTGCAGGAAAGGGAAGACCACCTCCCCGTGGAAAGCAGCGGAGGGGAAAGTGAAGATGGGTGTCTTGTGGTTGACGTCATGAAACGCCACCTGCCCCGTCTCGTAGTCCAAGTAAATGCCGAGTTTCCTGGGTCTCTTCCGCAAAGACAGGGGCGTCTCGGGGACGGTGAGAGCTTGGTAGTGGACCCGGCACTTCTCCACGGCCCAGATCCCTTCGCTGGGGTCAAGGATGAGGCACTCCTTCCTCTTCACGGAACCCCTTGCCAACCCCACGGCCCAGTACCCCTCCTCGCCCACCTCCACTTCCCAGTAGTGCCTTCCTGAGGAAAAGCCCTCGCTTCCCAAAACGCAGCGCTCGAGGCTGAATCTCAGGGGGCTGTCAGGAAGGCTGTGCCACGTGAAGCCTTGTATGACGGTCTTCTGGTCCGCAGACAGGATGAGCTCGTTGTTCGCTGTGCCCGGATCCAGGGTTACATTTGCTGCAGGGTGGAGGAGAAGGAAAGAGGTCACGGAAGGAAGGAGGGCAATATCAGTGTTAACCAGACAGTGTTGCGGCTGAGGGCCAGCATAACCAGTTGCACTGGAACATGCTATATGCCGGCCGCCTCCTTGACTTAATTGGAATATTCTAGAAAGAATTGGTCTTGAACAGGTTGCTAGGCAACAGAAAAATCTTGTAACAAGAGCCTCTATTAAGGGCATGTGGTCATTAAAGGTCAGAGTCAGTGTGTAAATGAACAAAGTTGAAAACGAGCAATTGAATCTCAGAGTCGGATGGATAGAGGAGAAGGAATTATGTTGTTTTATTTGACCAGTGTAAATTTGTGTAAATAATAAAGATTTTCTGTAAGAAGAAACTCTGCTGCATATGTCAGGAGTGCTCTGAAGGTGTTTCCTGCTTGGCAGGGGGTTGGACTCGATGGCCCTTGTGGTCTCTTCCAACTCTATGATTCTATGATTCTAAGTTTGAATTAAAAGAATACACCCAAGAGTAGATGCTCACACGTCAACTTTATGCACTGGTAATGCTATCTGGCAGTCAAGTGGAAGAATTGCCTTTCCCCCCTAGAGATTTGAAATTTCTCCACAGCAGCAGTGTTTCCTTAAATTGGTTCATTCTTTTCATATGGTTGATACACTGCTTGATTGTAAAAAAATAAAAATAAAATTCCCTCAGGGGTTGATGAAAAGAAGGAAACGATAAAATCTTTAGTCAAAACTTATCTGAGCATTCAAAAAATTGAAACCAGCAGCAAACTAAAAACACACCAGCATTCCAATACCTGAGTAGGCTTGTCTAAGCAAAAATGTTTTTGGCAGGTGCCGAAAAGAGTACAGGGATATCAACAGGTGCCACCACACTAAAATATCTATTTATTTCAGATGCAGAACAGGTATTCTGTGGCACCTGTAACAATTAATGGAGGACATCAAGGTTTGTAAAACGCTTAGAGGTTTTCTTGTTTTTTTTAAAAACCACACAAATCAAGTGGTATATAAATCTTGATAAACAAACAAAGATTCCTGTAACCGTTGAGAATCTTCTGAAGTAACTATTAAAAAACGTGACCCGAATGGATAACACCAGATTCCCCTCACATGGTGAGTCCTAAATCTCACCATGGGAAAGATATTCACCTCACAGGTTCTCCTTTCCCGCCCCACTCAACCGCACCATGGTAGTTTTATTGCGTCCTCAATTAATGTCAAAAATTCAGCATCAGGGAGTGGCGACGGATTTCATGCCTGAAATCATGCATTGTGAAAAGCATACAAAAACAAGAGAGCCGTTTACCTTTTTTGATTGGCATCACCAAGTTCCTCCAACCTAAAAACAACCACATAATGACAAATTAGCATTGGTATGGAAAATCTTGATCTCGGGTGCTTTACGCATAAAAAACACCAATACTATTTCAGCGCTGACAGCTATGTAGGCCTGGCACAAGATAAGGTGCCATCTGAGGGAGATGTGCTGACTGCCTTCTCTTCTGGTGTGCTGACCTCCTCTGAGGCCTGTTCTGAATAGTTTTTTGGTGCCATGAAATGATATGGGCCCTTCTAGACCATCCTGGGTTATTTTGCTTCAGAGTAGGCCATTGGACATTATACAGAGAGTGTCTGTGCTTTGTGGCAGTTCTGGGAACTGTAGTTTACTCTTCAAGAGCTTCAGTTCCCAGCACCATTAAACAAACCACAGTTTCCAGGATTCTATAGGGAAAACGATGTTGAATATGTTTTAAATCTATGGTGTGGATGTAAAGTCTTGTGCATGGGGAGAGGCCCCTCCTATAATTCAAACTTTTTTTAAAAAAAGGAACCAAGGCTGAATGCTCAATTTGATGAATTTCAGCTGTTCTTGGAAACATGGAGAGAAAAACCCAGTGTCCTGTTATGATGATGATGATGATGATGATGATAATAATAATAATAATAATAATTTATTATTTATACCCCGCCCATCTGGCTGGGCTTCCCTAGCCACTCTGGGCAGCTTCCAACCAAATACTGTAATAAAATACAGTAATACATCAAACATTAAAAGCTTCCCTAAACAGGGCTGCCTTTCAGATGTCTTCTAAAAGTTTGATAGTTGTTGTTCTCTTTGACATCTGGTGGGAGGGCGTTCCACAGGCTGGGCGCCACTGTTAGTGTAGAGTTGGCAGTTTTGCTACCTAACAAACCTTATTCTAAACTGGGGGAAGTTTTTTGAAATACCTTTTATGGTGGAAATTCTTAATCAATTATTTTTACCCACTCAAGCTGCATGTGTTGTTTCAGCCACCAGTTTTTGCTATTGGCTTGAATGGAACCAAACTTTCACGTCTACTTAAAAACAACAACCTAATTTTACTAAAATAGTCTCCCCGCCCCCCTTTTTAAGGCCACAATCCAATACAGAGTCAGTGCAATTCTATGCACAATTACTAGGGAGTAAAGCCAAGTGAAACCAGTGGGATTTGCGTCTGAGTGAACAACAAGAATTGTGCTCTCAGGCATGGTTAAGTTTATTGAAATTAATGGACTTAAGACTGCCTGCCTCTGCACAGGACAGTGGCCTAAAGGTGTTTTTCTTCTCAAAAGAGGCAGAATGACTTACTCAGTTCTGCAGAAAGCTTTCCTAGAAGAGAAAGGAAAGAAGAAATAGTTATAACTGCTGTAAACATTTGAGTGTACAATCTAGTCACCCGTTGTTTCTGGTCTGAATAAGGTGTGCTGATTTTCCTCTAGTATTATGATTAATTAAGAGCAAGACTGAAGCAGATTGGACCTTTTCTTTTTGGCAATGCAAATTGTAAGTCTGGATGCACAGTCTGGTTTAGGCCCACTGTGGGGGCCAAGAGTTAAAGCCACGGCTTCTCAATATAGGGACCCTGCACCGGCTGCTTTTCAACAAACAAACCCAGCACTTTGGGCCAGTGCTATGTAGGCTGGCCCTGATACCACCTACAGTCAAAGAAGACAAACCTAGCCTAGATCAGGGGTGGGAAATATTCTTGGCCCAGCAGGCCTGATCTTTATCTCCCAGCACTGCCACCCACCTGTAAAAGTTGGTCTGTGGGGGGGAGAGAAAGAGTAAGTAGGACTGAATACCCCATTGAGTCCTGCTATCTACTGGGTTTGAGTCAGCGAGGGAGATCCCAGTAGGGAACTTGTTGGATTTTGCCTACGTGCAGCTTTACACAAGGCAATTAAGAGTTGGCCAAAGGCCAAGAAGACTGAGCAGAGGAAGTTCTTCTGCCTAGAGATATGGAACCTTGGATACAACTCTGCTATTGGTCATAGGCATGATGATTCATGACCTTCCTTGCTTGGATAGTTGGTTGGTCAGTGAGGTGTTCTGAGAGTCGTTTGGAGTTTGTTAAGAGCAAGAGTTTAAGATCCGTATCTGTATCTTGTTAATAATAATAATAATAATAATAATTTGTTATTTGTACCCCGCCCATCTGGCTGGGTTTCCCCAGCCACTCTGGGTGGCTTCCAACAAAGATGAAAAATACACTAGAATGTCACAGATTAAAAACTTCCCTGAACAGGGCTGCCTTCAGATGTCTTCTGAATGTCTGGTAGATGTTTATCGCTTTGACATCTGATAGGAGGGCGTTCCACAGGGCGGGCGCCACTACCGAGAAGGCCCTCTGCCTTGTTCCCTGTAACTTGGCCTCTCGCAGTGAGGGAACTGCCAGAAAGCCCTCGGAGCTGGACCTCAGCGTCCGGGCAGAATGATGGGGGAGGAGACGCTCCTTCAGATATACTGGACCGAGGCCGTTTAGGGCTTTAAAGGTCAGCACCAACACTTTGAATTGTGCTCGGAAACATACTTGTGAGTCTGCTGTAAATAATAAACACCTGTAAGTAACCAGGGGGACGTGGGTGGCGCTGTGGGTAAAAGCCTCAGCGCCTAGGGCTTGCCGATCGAAAGGTCGGCGGTTCGAATCCCCGCGGCGGGGTGCGCTCCCGTTGCTTGGTCCCAGCGCCTGCCAACCTAGCAGTTCGAAAGCACCCCTGGGTGCAAGTAGATAAATAGGGACCGCTTACTAGCGGGAAGGTAAACGGTGTTTCCGTGTGTGGCTCTGGCTCGCCAGAGCAGCGATGTCACGCTGGCCATGTGACCCGGAAGTGTCTCCGGACAGCGCTGGCCCCCAGCCTCTTGAGTGAGATGGGTGCACAACCCTAGAGTCTGTCAAGACTGGCCCGTACGTGCAGGGGTACCTTTACCTTTACCTTTATAAGTAACCAAGTTACTGGTAGCAGTGTCTTGTTCCTGCTTCAATCCTACCTGCCTGCAACTGGTTGCTTCTGGAAGTCTGCGTATGCTCTGCTATATTCAACTGGGTCTGGCTAAAATCCTGCAACAGATTAAAGTTGCGAAACACCAATAGAACTCTTCTGCGCTCCGACCAAGCAGTTATCATCAGATAACTGACAGGGAGTTCAATCCAGCCACATCTCTACCTGTCTCACACTTCACATCACATATGATGTCAGTTGTGGGGCGGTGGGCATTGTTTGGAGGACAAATGGGGAGGCCTGGTGGGGCAAATCTGGCCTGTGGGTCAGACGTTTCCCCATCCCTTGTCTAGATGCCCCGACTGGAAACAAAGCAGTCTGCTCTGTAACAGTTGCAGGTGTCAATTGTCCTGAAGTGGGGTCTCATGTAACTGCCCCAATAGCATTGTGAGCACAAATCACAGTGAATGAATAATGAAAAGGATAGCCGCTTCTTTCAAATCTAACCTCAGCATAACCTCTGTGCAAGCTAATCAGGACGAATGCTGAATAAACAGGTTCTGGAGGAAGAAGAGAAGATGAAGAAGAGTTTGGATTTGATATCCCGCTTTATCACTACTCGAAGGAGTCTCAAAGCGGCTAACATTCTCCTTTCCCTTCCTCCCCCACAACAAATACTCTGTGAGGTGAGTGAGGCTGAGAGACTTCACAGAATTGTGACTAGCCCAAGGTCACCCAGCAGCTGCATGTGGAGGAGCGGAAAGCGAACCCGGTTCACCAGATTACGAGTCTATCGCTCTTAACCACTACACCACACTGGCTCTCCAGGAGACCTGTAAATACACACCTGTCCGGAGACTAGAAAATAATTTTGTAAGCCTCTCTCTAATAAGAACAGAACTGTAACTTCTGACTTCCATGTATTTAGAATCACATAATTGCAGAGTAGAAAAGGATCAAAAGGATGATCTAGTCCAGTGTTTCCCAAACTTGGCTCCCCAGCTGTTTTTGAACTACAATTCCCATCATCCCTGACCACTGGTCCTGCTAGCTAGGGATGATGGGAGTTGTAGTCCAAAAACAGCCAGAGACCCAAATGTGGGAAACACTGATATAGTCCAAACCCCTGCACCCATATCCCTGAGGTTAAGAGTCTGCTGATCTACAGACTGAGCTAGAAGATGCTACACAGTGCCACCTGGTGTCAAAAGCACATAATGACACCATTTACACACTGGGTATGAGGCAGCTTCCTAGGTACTCACTGTTTATATTAAACAGGTAAAGGAGGAGAAGAATGAAACCGAGCAGAGCCATGAGGGAGACACACAAACCCGCTATCCACTGAGAGATCTTTGGGAAGAAGTGATCTGAAAACAAAGCAAATTACCAACGATGTTATAAACCTGGTTTCTGAATCAAATAAAAGAAAAACAGATGCCAAAGATTTGGCAGTGCCTCCCCCTCCCCACCTCTATCTCAGTGTTTAATCCCCCTTCTGATCACGCTGCAGGGGTTTTTATAGGCTTCTGAGCTGCATGCGGGTTCTGCACACTTGAGGCCCTGAATATTGCCCTCCCTGTCCTCCAAGCACTGAACTTTTAATAAGCCTCCTGTTCTGCAGGAAATTCCTGATCCTGAGAGGAACTTCAAACGAGTCCCTGCTGTTGCAGTAGGAGCTCACCATTGCCCAGATCCTGAATAGAAAGTGATTTTAATCCAACATATTATAATATAGCACTTCTTCCTATGCCTGCTGAAATATACTCGGGCATAACACTTGCTTTGTCCAGCATGGCATCCCAGTACATATATACGGTATATGCAAGTGTGATGCTGCATGAACTGAACAGCAATATGTCCCAGAACATTCGTCAGCCAGGGGTTTAAGGACTGCTGTGAGTTTGCAGGGGAAGGGGTATTTTATTATGAAAGCCACTTTGAGAATCATCCGACTGAAAGGCAATGCACAAATCCTCTAAATAAATAAAATGGGGTCCCTTTGTCTTCCCCATCTCTCTCTCTCTCACCCTGCTGATGAAAATGTAACATGGAACTGAGAAAGGGGTGCAGTAATAAAATTACTAGAATATTGGCAAAGCTCAGCAGGTTCCAGGATGGTTTCAAACAGGATGGGGAACTAGATCAGGGGTCAGCAACCTTTTTCAGCTGTGGGCTGGTCCACCGTCCCTCAGACCATGTGGTGGGCTAGACTATATTTTGAAAAAAAAATATATGAACGAATTCCTATGCCCCACAAATAACCCAGAGATGCATTTTAAATAAAAGGACACATTCTACTCATGTAGAAACATGCTGATTCCTGGACCGTCTGTGAGCCGGACTGAGAAGGTGATTGGGCCGCATCCGGCCCCTTAGGTTGCCTACCCCTGGACTAGATGACCATCGAGGTCCCTTCCAGCTCTACAAGTCTACAGTCCTATGAAATCATCTTGGTACACATTTCAACAGCGAATTTAATCTGTCACTGTCCCTAGTGACCTAGTTGGGAAGTGAGCCTGCTAGAAGTTCTCACTGGTTCTCTTCTCAAGTTCCTTCTCTTTAGAATACGTTGGTGTCAATGTTGGTTGACTTCAGGCTTCTCCCCTCACTCGTTCACTGCACATCACTTGAGAGTCTAAGGCTGTGTATACCTTCAAAGCACATCCTTTCCCTCAAAGGATTCTGGGCACTGTAGTTTAGCCCTGACCCTTAACCAACTACATTTCCCAGAATTCTTTGAAGGAAAGAATGTATTTTGAAGGCATCGTTTGTACAGAGCCACAGCCCCCAAATACAGAACCGTTATCAAGAATTCTGGACAGCTTACCTGCTATATGAATAGTTGATTCCTTTTCCTGGTTGAGGAAGCTGTTCCGGACCACACAGGTTAGGCTATGATTTGAACTTCCTGTTAGGATGATGTCGTTCTGCGCCTCAAACAACCCATTGCCCTCCATGGAAATTTTCTGTCCCAGTGAAGGGAAGTGCCTCCCATTGGGTCCTCTCCATAGGATCTCAGGCTTTGGGTACCAACCACTGGATCGGCAAACTATTCGGATGCCCCTGTCCTGATAGCCTTCGATGGAAATAAGGGGAGCAAGGCCTGTTGCTGAATTGGGAACGAACAGAAATAGTGGGATAGTTCAAAGTCTTCCTGGAATCTATTCAAAAGAAGCATTAAAAACCCAGCAATAACAACTGTTTCTTTAAACCACTTTGAGGTTTCTTTCTTATAATCAATCGGTATAGTTTAAGAAATAAATAAAAAGATATCAGACTGCTCTAAATGTATGGCATGTTTGTGACGTTAATAATCTTCCCTGAGACCTGGGTTTGATCACAGCTGGTTTCTGAGCTTGATGGACCTAAGTATGCCACAACAACTTACAATTTCACGGCACTTTTGGTACATATGAGAAGCCGGTATCTAGGCTTCTGGTAGATTTTTTATTGTTGTTGTTATTTGCTCCCTTCAGAGAAAAATAAGACACTTTAGCCACGACCAATAACATTTCTATGAGAGGTACTAGTGAGAGTCTTACCAGGGTCCACATTATTTATAGGTGGAATAACAAAGAAAATGGTGAGAATGAACAGAAAGGAACGCATTTCTGGGTCGCAAGAGAAGTTGGGCACCTCCATTTTCTCTCTTTTCTGGCCTCCGGGGGATAAAGCAAACCCTGGAGAGAGAGAGAGAGAGAGAGAGAGAGAGAGAGAGAGAGAGAGATGGAGAGAGGGAGAGAGATTTACAAACTGATTATGATACCCAATCCTCTTTCTCAGTTTTCATAAAGTTTTGTACCTTAAGGTGCATGCCTGCGGAATGGTCCATGATGACCACAAGAAGATGCTGGGAAGATGTTACTTTGAGATTAGCTCAAGGATGGGGAGCCTCAGGTCCCCCAGGAGCTGAATATAGCCCTCCATTCCTCTCTATCTGGCCCTTGGTGCTCTTCCAATAGATCAGCCTTTGCTAATTTGGTTCCCTCCAGATGTTTTGAGCAACTACTGCCATCAGTCCCATCCAGCTCACATGCTGGGGCTGATGGCAGTCGCAGTCCAAAGCACCCAGGGGGCGCCAGGTCAGCGACTGCTGCAATAGGCTTTGTGATGGTTTGCAGTCCAGTATACTTGAAGGAGCGTCTCCACCTCCATCATTCAGCCCAGACACTGAGGTCCAGTGCTGAGGGCCTTCTGGCGGTTCCCTCGCTACGAGAAGCCAAGTTACAGGGAACCAGATAGAGGGCCTTCTCGGTAGTGGCACCCATCCTGTGGAACGCCCTCCCACCAGATGTCAAAGAGAAAAATAACTACCAAACTTTTGGAGGACATCTGCAGGCAGCCCTGTTTAGGGAAGCTTTTACTGTTTAATAGGTTATTGTATTTTAGTGTTCTGTTGGAAGCCGCCCAGAGTGGCTGGGGAAGCCTCACTGACACCTGCAGTCAAATAGGATTTTGAAATAAGAAAGACATCTGGCTGTGTTTACTCTGCATTAGGGCTGCCATACAAAGGCAGAAAACCCAGATGTACAGCAAGAAAGGTGTTTTAAAAATAAAAATGCTTTAAAAATCAAATAAAAGCCCCCAAACAGTCAACATCTCCCCCCAAAAGCTGAACAACTTTGTCCTGATTGTCACTTTTAGGAATATTGCACCCCTGCTCTGCATCCAAGACACTGGTATGAGAAGCAGCATAAAGCACGGCATTTGCCACAATCCTCATCTATCCTGTCGTTTCTTAGGAAATACTGTGTTTTGATGCATTAACCAGCTTTGATCCAGATTAAGAAAACTGGTAGCGTGCACACACAGCCTCTGTTTGGCAGAGGCAAATCGGGGATGAATGTACACAGTAGGAACAGTCACATCTCTTTCAAACTTCTTACCACCTTTAATTCTTTTCTTTTTTGTTTTTTGGAGGAGGAGGAGGTGGGCAGGGGAGAACGATGGCCCATCTCCAGAATGAAGCTCTGCACCTTTAACTGACATGCAGAAATTACGCATGTAAGTTTCCCCTGCATGGAGAGGTAATGAAGGAATGGGCTGTAGTGGCTCAGTGGTAGAGCATCTGCCTTGTCATGCAGGACGTCGCAGGTTCAATTCCCAGTATCTCCAGGTAGAGCTGGGAAGAGGTTCCCTGTCCGAGAGGAGAGCCTCCACTAGTAACCATAGGCACGACTGGCCTAGAATGAACCAGTCTTGGGTCCAATTCAGTAAAAAGTAAAAAGAAACTTCTTATGTTCTTATATGGGGACAGTTGGAACCAGCTGCCTGTCATGGATGCCACTTCCAGTCAATCTGTTAACGTCAGCATTTGCCCTGATTTGTGACATCACGTCAAGCAATTTGTTAAATTGTGGGTGAACATATCAGACGACACAGCGATTCTTCAAACAGCTCTTGTTTATTCATAGGCCAGAACAGAACTGAACTGAACTGAAGGGTTCAGCCAGCCTGCTTATATAGAGCTCCACTACAACGCAACAGTAACCACTTTCTGTAACTATCCAATCACTGAATGTCACTTTCAATCCCTTATTTGCATATGTGGACCTGAGTGAAAACTATCCACAGTATCCCCTTGCTGGCCCAAGGTGAGAACTTCAGTACATAACACAATTGTTACCAGTATGTTGTTCTGGCACAAACAGTATTATCTTTTATTATTATTACAAGAGTGCCCAATCCACTTTAACTGCACAATCTGAACTTGCCAGAATGTGATTGAATCCCACCCACAAAATTGTCACATTCTGGAAGTGCCCATAGTTGGTAAAATCACAAGAAAAATGTGTTGGCTACTGTTATTCCTAAAGGCATTTGTCATCCTCCCAGTCCTTTGGAATGAATCACTGTTACTCCACAGGATGCAACCTTGGCACCACGCTCTAACCAAACAAGCTCTTACTTTCCCTTCTATCTACCATCAAGCCATTGTTTATTTTTAAAGATGTGTTTTCAAGCCATCCAAAGTCAAAAGCCCTTTTAAAGTTGAAATCCTTTAACCACAGAGCAAGCCTTGCTCCTGTGCTGAATTCAATAGGACTTTGAACACATATCTGACTGTAGTGGTGCTATCAGTTCCACTGGGTTCCACTGTAATCAATGAGATTTAAGAGTGTTTAACTTAGGATGTTTACTATCTACTGTACAGTATTAGTTTTATACAAAGCTCTCCCGTCAATAATTGAAGTACTACAGAAATAAAATATTTACATATCTATCATCTACCGTATCTATCTATCTATCTATCTATCTATCTATCTATCTATCTATCTATCTATCTATCTATCCATCCATCCATCTAATCATGTCATTAAAGGGTCTAACAAAACAGATATATTAAAGGTTTAAAACAAAACATTTCAGTTCTCTTTCTTTAGCTGCTCTGGTGTGAAAAGGGTTCACATCAAAGCAGCCAAGAAGGCAGAAACCGAAACATTTCACTTCAAAACTTTTAAATAACTCTGGTTACTCACTGCAGTACATATATTGTTTCAGGGATTAGCTACATATTTTGTGGTCCATAGCAAATTTGTCTGAAGTGCTCTTTTGTTGCTTTAAAGCTGACCTGCTGCAAAATCATGCTATAGCACTTTCTTTTACCTTACATGTGAAGAATATTTGTCACTGATATCCCAGGTCGCCTTCAGCTTCCATCTCCTGAAAACCAAAGAATTCTGAGTGATTCTTTTCCTCTCGAATCTCCCCTAAGTTAGAAGGCCCTTTTTTCCCTTACAATATCACAGCTGGACTTGAGCAATCAGTGAAAAGATGAAAGAGGTTCCAAACGTTCTTATCAGTCAGCTGGCATCTGTCAGTCATCTCCACGTTTGATGGTCCTCAAGCCAAGCTAATGTGAGATGGAGAAAGAGAGGGGGACCTCTATTTGTAAGGAACCCAGCCCCAAATCTCCGTGTCTAATGGCTGTTACGTTTTTCTTCTAAGGTTCCCCATCTGTCTCCGTCTTATCAGCTGCCCGCAGATGGACAGACAAAACGGGAAGGAGGCCAAGTTTCAAGCCCACGTCATCCGCAGCTTATCACCAGCAGTCAATAGTCTACTCCCAAAATGTTTACAGAAACCGCAGCATAAGTAGTTTGTTTTTATGTCTATGGAATCATGGAATCCTAGAGTTGGAAGGGACCACAGGGGTCATCTAGTCCAACCCCCTGCAATGCAGGAATTTATTGCCCAAGGTGGGGCTCCAACCCATGAACCCGAGATTAAGTGTCTCATGCTCTAGTTAAGTACAGGGAAGGAATTCTGAAGGGAATTTTGTTCATTAAAATGCCTGGCTTTTGCTCAATGCATCAAGCTCCACCTTAAATAACTGTACAGTGGTACCTCTGGTTATGAACTTAATTCGTTCTGGAGGTCCATTCTTAACCTGAAACTGTTCCTAACCCATAGCTGTCAATGTTTCCCTTTTTTTAAAGGGAAATTCCCTTATTCTGAATAGGATTCCTCGCAAGAAAAGGGAAAAGTTGACAGCTATGTCTTAACCTGAGGTACCACTTTAGCTAATGGGGCCTCCCGCTGCCGCCGGCATGTGATTTCCGTTCTCATCCTGGGGCAAAGTTTGTAACCTGAGGTACTATATCTGGGGTAGCAGAGTCTGTAACCTGAAGTGTTTGTAACCCGAGGTGTTTGTAACCTGAGGTACCACTGTACGTATATTTGCATATTGCTCCACAGAAGGAGCAGAACCTGTCTCCACCAGAGGTACTACTCCTAGCATCTCATACAACCCTCCTTTGAAGAGACTTTGGATAACAAGTGCAAAGAACGACAGGACTCGTATTTATTTATTAAGCCATTTATATACTGCTTCACCCTTAGCATTTCTAACAAGCTGCATGGCTCACTGGTAGAGCATATATTTTGCACCCCAATCTGATTCTTTGGCATCACTCTGAGAGTTTATAGTAGCTGGCTGTGTGTGTTTTACAATATTCATCAGGAGAGGAGCTGGAGAGAGAGGGCAAAACTGCCCTTTGGTCCAGTCCCTATCACAATTCAATTCCCCCCGCCATGGTTGCTACTTAAATAAACATAGCAGTCAGAACAGTGTCCAGGAAGAAATCGCTGAAATGTCTGGGAAAATCCGGACATATGACAACCAATGTCGGAAGCCTAGATTTTGGTGAATTTCCTTTAAAATAGCTAAAAAACTTAACTTTTATTATTTTTGATATTTTGCACACACACAAAAGCTCAACTTGGTCAAAAGAAGCTCAACCTGAGGTACCACTGTATGTATATTTGCATATTGCTCCACAGATGGAGCAGAACCTGTCCCCACCAGGATGCTGCTCCTAGCATCTCATACAACCCTCCTTTGAACAAACTCTGGATAACAAGTGCAAAGAAAGACAGGACTCATATTTATTTATTAAGCCATTTATATACTGCTTCACCCTTAGCATTTCTAACAAGCTGCATGGCTCACTGGTAGAGCATATATTTTGTACCCCAATCTGATTATTTGGCATCACTCTGAGAGTTTATAGTAGCTGGCTGTGTGTGTTTTATGATAGTCATCTGGAGAGTAGCTAGAGAGAAAGGGCGAAACTGCCCTTTGGTCCAGTCTCTATCACAATTCAATTCCTCCCTGCCATGGTTGCTACTTAAATAAACAGCAAACAGGATATAAAATGCAGACATACACTTAATGTACGGTCCAGCTTGCTATAAGTCACCTCCTTTTCTGGAATGGAGCATGTTCAGGTTTCTTTCACTTCCACATGAACCTAGTGAAATTTCCCTCTTAAATTTCCATATTAATGAAAGCTGAACCATGCAGGAAATTCTTCTTCTGTAACTGATTGTCCAGAAACATGGCCTTACTTTGCATAATGATTACCCTAGGTTGGAAATGGACAACAGTTTTAAGAGCTGAAGGTGGAATGAGAGAGAGGCATGGTCCTTTTGGTCTCAGGGGTTAAACAGTTTTGGCAGGTATCTGAAGCAATACACAAAGAAACCCTCTGCAAACCCGTTTATGAGAGATGACTTATGGTGAGGAATCGTTGGTCTTGGCCCGCTGGAGGGTCCAATGTGGCCTGTGAGGCTCTTTCCCTAAAACCACACCTACCTGTCAATCAGCTAATATCATTGTGTCAGCTGATGGATGGGACTCAGCCCTGCATTGGCTGGGCCCGCCAGCTCCCTATAGGGAACTGACACACACAGGGAAAGCAGAAGACTTTAATCCTCCACTCATTGGCTGATGAGTGGAGGTTAAATCCTACTCAGGCCCCTGCAAGGGAGCAGGACTGAACTCTCCCCTCATCTGCTGATGAGCAAAACCTTGAATCCTGCCAGGTGCTTCTTCGCCAGCACATTTCCTGAGGGGAATGCGCTAGCAAAACAGAAGCCTCCCTCCAAAGGATGCAAGGCGAATTTTGACAGGTGGGTGGGACCATCCACCTATCAGTCACCTGCTGGCATCATGATGTCAGGTGATTGATAGGTGGGTGGCTCCATTCACCTGTCAAAGTTGGTCAGCAGTGATGGTGGTGGTGGAAGATCAGGATCTGGCCCACTGTGCCAAGAAAATTCCCCGTTCCTGGTGAACAGGGTACCAAAAACGCCACCTGTTTCTCATGCCACCTTCAACCCTACAACATTTGAATCTGAAAGGTTGGGGTTGAGGAATTAGAAGAAGAAGAAAATGGAAAAGATACAATCCCAAAACCCTTGAAAACAAACATTCCATATTATCTAGTACTTCCCCCACCCACCCACCCACAGCTTCCCTCTGCCGCAATTTGACTTCTTTAAATCTCTATCTCCACATTTATCTTTGCATTCTCCAAATATATCATTCTTTGTACATCTTTTATCTCTTTTCTGATTCATACATATGCTTTACAATTTTTATTCTAGGCGTATCAGCACATCTTTCTTAGAACAATATTTTAACATGTAATCTTTGAAATATTTCCATTCCTTTTTTAAATTTTTGATTTGACTGATATCTTATAATTGATGTTAGCTTTGTCAGTTCTAAATATTCATTTAATTTGCAAATCCACTCCCCTTTTGAGGGCAAGATCTGAGATTTCCATTTAGAAGCAATCACTACCCTAGCTGCTGTAGTTGCATATAGAGAAGTTCTTTTATTCATTTGCAGTACAGTGGTGCCCCGCAAGACGAATGCCTCGCAAGACGAAAAACTCGCTAGATGAAAGAGTTTTCCGTTTTTTGAGGTGCTTCACAAGACGAATTTCCCTATGGGCTTGCTTCGCAAGATGAAACGTCTTGCGAGTTCTTGCGAGTTTGTTTCCTTTTTCTTAAAGCCGCTAATAGCCGCTAAGCCGCTAATAGCCGCTAAGCCGCTAATAGCCGTGCTTCGCAAGATGAAAAAACCACAAGACGAAGAGACTCGCGGAACGGATTAATTTCGTCTTGCGAGGCACCACTGTATATCTTTCCCTATCAGGCCTCTGTTTTTTTAACAATTGGGATTTTCAATGTTTTCTTTAATTCCTCATGTATTAATCTCCAAAATTTCCTAATCTCCTCACAACCCCACCACATGTGTATTGTTGTTCCTGCGTCTTTACCACATGAAGCCAGAGACTCTTAAATCCTGAAAAATGTGTGGCGTGGCGCTGGCGGGCAATTCTCCGCTCACTCTTTCAAGTCCTTCAGGCGGAGTGAAACACCTCCACCCACATAGAATAAAGGATAAACGACCTCTCCGTTGCGGGGAACATCTTTCTTAATGACTTTACCAGCCATGTAAAAAGTCACGGTGTCTTGATCGCAATCCAGAAGAACCCCAATGGTTCCAGAGCCTTGGGGAGGTGGTTGGGGGTCGCTTTGCCGACGCCGAAGCCACCAGAGACCTTCCTGCACAATCCCCTCCTCTGGGGTAAGGGAGAGGTAGACATCCCTTTTCACAGACTCCCGCGCTACCCCGACCGCCCATTCCCTCTGGTTTCCGTACACCACTTCCCAGCAATGTTTCCCTGATTTAAACCCTGGAGAGCCCAACACGGCAGGGCTTTTAGTGAACCTCCTGGGGTTAGGAGGCACGGGGTGCTCCACACCTTCCGATGTCACAGTCTTCCGGTCTGTAGACACAACAAGTGCTGGGTGGGCAGTGTCCGGGTTAAAGGTCACTTTAGCTGCAACTGGGGGGAGACAGAACATCAAAGTGTTATGGGCCCAACCAAGTCCTTGCAGAGGAGGGTTGGGCCAAGCCTAATTCCCCCCCCTCGCCCCTGGCTGTGTACACACCATATATTTAAAGTACATTTAAAGCACATCCTGCCTCTAATAATAATAATAATAATAATAATAATAATTTATAATTTGTACACCACCCATCTGGCTGGGTTTCGCCAGCCACTCTGGGCGGCTTCCAACAAAAGATTAAAAATACCTTAAAACATCAGTCATTAAAAACTTCCCTAAAAACAGGGCTGCCTTCAGGTGTCTTCTAAACGCCAGATAGTTGTTTACTTCTTTGACATCTGATGGGAGGGCGTTCCACAGGGCGGGCGCCACTCCCAAGAAGGCTCTCTGCCTGGTTCCCTGTACCCTCACTTCTCGCAGGGAGGGAACTGCCAGAAGACCATTGGATCTGGACCTCAGTGTCTGGTGAATGATGGGGGTGGAGATGCTCCTTCAGGTATACTGGGAATTCTGGGAATGGTAGTTTGCCCCATCACAGCACTATAATTTCCAGCACCCTCAGCAAATTACACTTTTCATTATTCTTTAAGGGGGTGAAAGGGAAATGTGCTTTAATGCATAGTGTGTATACAAGCTAAGCAACATGGAACTTTGTTCCAACAAGTCCATCTCTTTTCCTGGGTAAGCCACCATCTTTCCTTTCTTTGGCAGATGTAGTGTGTGTGTGTGTGTGTGTGTGTGTGTGTGTGTGTCTGTGTGTGCACGCGCACACACACATACAAACACAGCACTTCGAAAGGGGGACTTAATTTGTGCATGAGAGTTTTGGCTAGAAGCTTGTCTTGTTCTGCCCTGGACCCAGAGTTATGGCTTGGGGATCTCCCTGGGAACCAAATACACAGGCAAGAGCAGTAGAGTGCTGATGCTTTGAGCCCCTCCATCTTATGCTCAGGTTGTGTATATATGTGCAAATAAAACCATAAATCTTAAAGAAACCACATTCTCTCTTGACCTTCATTCCAAGAAAACTGAACCCTGCCTGGGTAAGCACAGGCAGCCCTGGAGTCTCTTGCCGCTCAGAGGTTGGGGTACGCACAAGAGCGCATTTCTACGATGGTCCCTTCAGCGATTACACCAGAGATGCTGTACCTGAGACCTTCGAGTTGTGCTGGACTACATGCTGGCTGGGGCTGATGGGGCTTGTACTGTAGTCCACCTTTTAGAGGGTAGCTGTATCCCCACCTCTGAATTTAACACAGCTAGGGCTGTCATACATCTGGAATTTCCTGGACATAGCAGTCAGAACAGTGTCCAGGTAGAAATCACTGAAATGTCTGGGAAAATCCGGACATATGGCAACCGATTTCAAAAGCCTATATTTTGGTGAATTTCCTTTAAAATAGCTCAAAAACTTCACTTTTATTATTTTTAATATGTTGCACACACACAAAAGTTCAACTTGGTCAAAAGAAGCTTTTGTGCCCAGATTCTCACCTTTTTGAAATATGGCAACCCTCACAAAGCCCCAAAGTGCCTTACAACATTGCCAGCTTTGAATGCACTGGGATTTTCTGGCAGTATTTCTCAATTCAGCCAGAATGACTTTTAGAAAGCTGACTTCTTCTTCTTCTTCTTCTTCTTCTTCTTCTTCTTCTTCTTCTTCTTCTTATTATTATTATTATTCCAACCCTCACCCCACAGTCTTATTTTACTCATCGTTTACCTCGGTAACATCCCTTTGGTAGTGAAGCCAGGACTTTTCCACCACCTTTCTGCTCAGCCAGAAAGCACAGCATTAGCCACAGGATACAATAGAATCCTAGGGAGGCACAAAGGGGAAAAGAAAATGAAACCAAGAACAAGATGCTTCCATAAATAGAACCAGCATGGACTAGTGGTTAGGGTCTTGGACTAGGACCTGGGAGGTCAGGGTTCAAATCCCCACTTGGCCAATAAAGCACACGGGGTGAACTTGGGTCCGTCACTATCACTCAGCCTAATGCACCTCACAGAGCGGCTGTGAGGAAAAGGTGGGATATAAATGTAATAATACCGTATTTTTCGTCCCATAGGACACACCGGCCCATAGGACGCACCTAGTTTTTTGGGGGGGAAATAAAGGATTCCTCCCCCCCTTTATTCCCCCCCCCAAAAAAAAAACCAGGTCGGGAATCCAAACCAGGTCGGGTAACAGCGGGGTGGCGGCGCTGCGCCTCCCCGCTGTCCCCTGAGCTTGTGGTGTGGCGCTGGGGAGAAGCGCGCTTCTCCCCAGTGCCAGCCTCCAAACCAGGTCGAGAAACAGCGGGGAGGCGCTGCCCGTTGTCTGCCCGAAGCGGGGGCGCTCTGCTTCCAGCGCGCCCCGCGCTCTGGGAAGCAGGCTGCTATCCGCAGCCTAGGGAGCCCTGCGGGAACTCCCGTGAGCTCCCCAGGCTTGCTGATAGCTTCCTGAAGCCTGGAGAGCGAGAGGGGTCAGTGCGCACCGACCCCTCTCGGTCTCCAAGCTTCAGTGAAAGCCTGCATTCGCCCCATAGGACGCACACAGATTTCCCCTTCATTTTTGGAGGGGGAAAAGTGCGTCCTATAGGGCGAAAAATACGGTAATTATAATAAACTAGGATGCAATGGGGAGGTGATGGTGTTTACTTCTGTGTCCTTTATAGAGGATGTTCAGTATTTTGCAGAGAGCTTTACGGTCTTTGCTGTGTTTGCCCTCAGAGCATCCTTGCCAGGTAATTTCCTCTATATTACCAGCCCTGCCAAAGAAGACATTGGGTTTACGCCAAGCCTGACTGACTTGGATGGCGGCCCGAATCTACAAATGTAGGTCTGGCTAAGTAGCCTCTGGACCCTTTCAGTCTTGCCTTATGATATCCAACGGGTTCTGAGATAAGACGAATAGCAGCAGTTCTGGCCATTACCTTTCAGCGTCGGCTGAACACCACTTCTCATTGGAAAGTTCCGGAAGCTCAGCCAAGAGACCAGAGAAAAAGACATAGCTGCCAGGACCTCTTCCTTCTCACTGAGGGTGGCCGGAAAGAAATAAAAACAAATGAAATATAATAAATATTTGTTTTTGTTTTTTAAAAATACAATCAATAGAAACTTTTAGGGGGAAAGTTATTTATGTATGCTACAAGAGCGGCAAGAGTCTTGATAGCACAAGGATGGAAGAATGAGGAAACCCCGACAAAAGAAGAGTGGCAAGAGAAATTGATGAACTATGCAGAACTGGCCAAACTGACATACAAACCGCGAGATAAGGACAACTGTGACTTCAAAGAAGAATGGGAACTTTTTACAAATTACTCAAAAAGACAACAAAATGAATTGGACTCCTTGGCAGGTTTTGAATAAACATACACAAATTTATTGATTGTTAACATAGTAGACAGATAATGTAAGGATATATACAATTTTACAGTCCGCAGAGAATAATATGTGTTGAGAAATAAGAGAGAGGAGCTGAGGGAAGTCTCAGCAGGGAGGGTTTGATGGGGAGGTGGGGGGGGGGAAGGGGGAAATAATGAATATATGTTTTGATATTTTGTTATGTTGAAATTGTTAATAAAAAAATTATATAAAAAAGAAACTTTTAGGGGGAAAGTTGTTACTGTTTTTGTTACATTGGAATCAACACAAAAGAAACAAAGCAGTAATTATTGAGCTATTAGATATGATGCACTTAACTGTATATCTCTATAGGTTTGTAAGGCAATTATATATTTCATACTCATGGAATTTTTTTTGGGGGGGGGGGAAACAGTATTAAAAACCAAAAGTAATACTTTGTCCAGCTGTTAATCCTACTATGAGTGGGAGATTGGGATCAGGACTACTCTGATAATAGGACCCATGGAGGGGAAGGTGGGAAGTCTAGATATTCAGAGAAATGTCTCAATATGGATATTTTATTTTGTACAGTGGTGCCCCGCAAGACGAATGCCTCGCAAGACGGAAAACCCGCAAGACGAAAGGGTTTTCTGTTTGCGAGTTGCTTCGCAAGACGAATTTCCCTATGGGCTTGCTTCGCAAAAAGAAAGCCCATAGGGAAATCTCCGGGGACCTCTTTTAAATGCTGGCGGTGGGGAGCAAAGCCTTTCCCCCCCTCCGGCCTTCAGAAGAGGTCCAGGAAGGCCGGCGGGGGCCGAAAGGCTTTGCTCCCCACCGCCAGCATTTTAAAAGCAGTCCGGGATAGCAGGGAAGCGCTTCCCGCTATCGCGGACGGCTTTTGAAGGCAGGCGGGGGGGAGCAAAGACTTTCACCCCCCGCCCGCCTTCAGAAGAGGTCCAGGACCTCTTCTGAAGGCTGGCGGGGGGCAAAAGTCTTTGTCCCCCCTGCCTGCCTTCCCAGGGGCTTTTAAATCGCCCCGGACAGTGGAGAAGTCCTCCGCTGCCCCGGGCGATTTTAAAATGCCGCCCGCCAGCATTTTAAGATCGCCCCGGACAGCGGAGAAGTCCTCCGCTGTCCCGGGCTTTTTTAAAATGCTGGGGGTGGGAAGAAAAGCCCTTTCCCCCCCCAGCCTTCAGAAGAGGTCGGGGGACAGACTGTCCCCGGACCTGGTCTGAAGGCGGTTTCCATAGGAACGCATTAATTGATTTTCAATGCATTCCTATGGGAAACCGTGCTTCGCAAGACGAAAAACTCGCAAGAAGAAAAAACTTGCGGAACGAATTAATTTCGTCTTGCGAGGCACCACTGTACAGTCATACCTCAGAAGTCGAACAGAATCTGTTCCAGAAGTCCGTTCGACTTCCAAAACGTTCAGAAACCAAAGCACGGCTTCTGATTAGCTGCAGGAAGTTCCTGCAGCCAATTGGAAGCCGTGTAACCCGTGTCGGACATTCGGGTTCCAAAAGAACGTTCGCAAACCGGAACACTCACTTCCAGGTTTGCAGCATTTGGGAGCCAAAACGTTCAACTTGCAAGGCGTTCAACTTCCAAGTGGTGCACAAGCCAACACACAGCCTCTTTTTTCTGTTTTCTTTTTAAGGCCTTCCATAATGAAGCTTGCTAGCAGATTACATACACTAGGTCACACCACATGTTTTCCACTAGCCCTTGCACAACAACTCACAGAATTTCAGCACTTCCACAATTTATTCAGTTTATGTATCACACTTTCATGGAGATCAAGGGGGGAGCTGAAAACTAGGGTGGGTGTTGGATTTCCAGCTGTGGACACTTTTAATTTGGGGGCAATAAAAAGTCCAAAAGTACCCAGTTTGGCAAGTCGAGACTTGCTTTAATCATCAGGGATCACGATTTAAGGTGACAAATCAGTCTCACATTTTCAATCAGCATAGCATTCAGGTGGCAGATCACCACGTCCTGACATGTGTTTTGAAAGGCATAACCTTTAATTTTTGTTTTCGATGAAATTTAGACGTGTTTATGCAGAAAGTAAAGGTAATTGTGCTGGGCCACAAGATTTGTGAATGAGAAATGTTCAAAACATTCAAAAAGCCAAATTCTGGTATGCTGTTAGTTTTTGGATTTCAGCCATCACCACTCACAGATTTTGAAGCCACGTAACCCATTCCGCAATGAAATAAAATAAGACACATGAAATATTCCTTGCATCACATGATCCTGTACAAGATGTTCGAAAGATGATGCTTTGCATTTCACAAACAATTGTTCCAGCAATCAACACTTATACCCGCATTGTAATGGCTTACCTTGTTTTCCAGAAAGAAAGGTATTTTTATTTGCGCTGACAGTGCCCAGACTATTCCAAGAAGCTGGCAGGACTTCTCTGTGGTTAATGACTGGAGCTCACTTCGCTGAGGGCTTTTAAATGATCTAACAAGGATGTGGCAAGTCTTCCAATAAGGATGTGGGGACGCATCTAACCCTTTCCTAGATTGCAAAACAACCTGTAGAGCCTGTTCTATAGCACTCTCCAAGCGGCTCATAGGGGAGCTAGCAAGTAAAAGTTTATTCTTAATTTTTGAATTCTATAAGTTTTAGCTGATGCAAGTTCAGGAAACATTGCAAGCCCCCAGAAAGACTTCATTTAGGAAGAGAAGGTCTTTCTTTTAGCCGTTGTACCACAAATTGGGAACTCGGGTGGTGCTGTGGTCTAAACCACAGAGCCTAGGACGTGCCAATCAGAAGGTCGACGGTTTGAATCCCCGTGACAGGTGAGCTCCCGTTGCTCGGTCCCTGCTCCTGCCAACCTAGCAGTTCGAAAGCACGTCAAAGTGCAAGAAGATAAATAGGTACCACTGCGGCAGGAAGGTAAACGGCGTTTCCGTGCGCTGCTCTGGTTTGCCAGAAGCGGCTTAGTCATGCTGGCCACATGATGGAAGCTGTACGCTGGCTCCCTTGGCCAATAAAGCGAGATGAGTGCCGCAATCCCAGAGTCGGTCACGACTGGACCTAATGGTTAGGGATCCCTTTAAAGGTAAGGTAAAGGTACCCCCTGCCCGTACGGGCCAGTCTTGACAGACTCTAGGGTTGTGCGCCCATCTCACTTAAGAGGCCGGGGGCCAGCGCTGTCCAGAGACACTTCCAGGTCACGTGGCCAGCGTGACAAAGCTGCATCTGGCAAGCCAGCGCAGCACACGGAAACGCCGTTTACCTTCCCGCTAGTAAGCGGTCCCTATTTATCTACTTGCACCCGTGGGTGCTTTCGAACTGCTAGGTTGGCAGGCGCTGGGACCGAGCAACGGGAGCACACCCCGCCGCGGGGATTCGAACCGCCGACCTTTCGATCGGCAAGCCCTAGGCGCTGAGGCTTTTACCCACAGCGCCACCCGCGTCCCCGTCCCCCCCCAGGGATCCCTTTACCTTACCACATATTGAGAAATGATCTTGTTGCACACTCAGGTGGTAAGAAGTTCCAGAAACTGCTGCCTGGAGTTGGGGTTCGTTTAGAAGAGAAAGCGCTGTTGACTTGAGGCACTTTATATACAAATGCGCAGGGAGAGGATAAGGGGTCCTACCTTGTAGATGATCTGCTGTCTCACGCCAGACTCCCAGAGACAGAGAGAGCTGTTCACAAGCTGTCTTTAGGTCTGTCTAACTGCTCACTCACCGTCTGTTCCCAAAAGTGCACCAAATGCCAGGGTTGGACGCCTCCCTCATCATTTCCACTCCCAACCTCTGAAGGCTTTCATATTTAAAACACAAGAGAGAACTTCAGTTTCGGTCCCATTGATGAAACCAGCACCCTGGCAATGAACCAGCAAGCTGCTCGACGAAAGCAATTGTTTGTGCCAGTATCACTTACGCCTCCATGGGAAGTGGCGTACAACAATTAAAATGGACAATGAACGCACAACCGGTTCCAACACATGTTGTACCCATTGTAGCTTTTCTTTTTTTCTTTTTACAAATAAAAGAGAGAGAAATGTCGTCAGCTGACTTTTTAGCAAGAATAACATGCCATCGAGCCTGACGTCAACATTAATTGCTTTGCGTTACATTGATCAACGATGTAAGCCTTACAAAAATTATATGGGCAGTCCATATATCCAAGTAGGTATTAGAGTGATGATCATACACTATGCAGTCAAGCACAGAAAGGGCAGAGAGATCTTCAGACCACCAAGAGTACATGGGCTTGCCCTTGAAGATTATTATTACAGTGGTACCTCGGGTTAAGAACTTAATTCGTTCTGGAGGTCTGTTCTTAACCCGAAACTGTTCTTAACCTGAAGCACCACTTTAGCTAATGGGGCCTCCTGCTGCCGCCGTGTCGCCGGAGCACGATTTCTGTTCTCATCCTGAAGCAAAGTTCTTAACCCCTTAACCCGAGGTAATATTTCTGGATTAGTGGAGTCTGTAACCTGAAGCGTATGTAACCCAAGGTACCACTGTATTATTATTATTTCTGACTTTTAGAAGACATCTGAAGGCAGCCCTGTACAGGGAGGCTTTTTAATGTTTTAGGTTCTTTGTGTTTGAACATTTTGTTGGAAGCCACCTAGAGCGGCAGGGGCAGCCCAGTCAGATAGACTGTTTATCATCATCATCATCATCATCATCACAGAAACTTCAATTGGTCAAAAATGCTGTGGTCAGATTCCTGGCTGATAGTCTGTTGGGGTTTCTATTATTATAAAACTATTAATTGTTGAATATTGAAAATAAAAAATAACAAACAGAACATCCCCCCTCCCTGACAGCAGCAGGAGGCCACATTAGTTAAAGTGGTGCTTCAGGTTAAGAACAGTTTCAGGTTAAGAACGGACCTCCAGAACGAATTAAGTACTTAACCCGAGGTACCACTGTACCCTCCAACATTTCTCCAATGAAAATAGGGACATCCTAAGGAAAAGTGGAACATTCTGGGATCAAGTCAGAAACCGGGACTTTTTCTCTAAATCAGGGGCATCCCTGGAAATAGCGGGTCTGGACTTGGAGGGTCTGATAGGTTTCAAAAGCGATTAGACACATGCATGCAGGATAAAGCTATGAGTGGCTGCTAGCTCCAATGGCTGTGCTACATTACAAGAACATAAGCTTCTGAATATTAGTTTCTGTGATTCACAAGCTGAGAGTGGACTGTTGCTTGTGGGCTTCCACAGGGATCCGAAGGGCCACAGAGAAAACAGAATGCTTGACTAGTGAGATTAGGCTTCTAGCCTGATCTGGGAGGTTCTTTTTATGTTCTTTTGACATGAGAAGCCTTCTACTGTGTCAGACTTTTTAACCATCTAGTTCAATATATTCTGCACGCCAGCTCTCCAGTGGTCTTCTGGCCATGTTTCTTTTAAGGGGGAGTTGCCGGAGACTGAACTCCACCCCGAGTTTTTTGTTTTTCCCTGAGGAAGAAATCCCTCTCCCTTTTCATAACCCTTATCTAGTCCTCCTGACCACACCCAAAGCCTAACTAAGTGAGAAGTTTCCCAACCTTTGGTCTCCAGCTGTTTTCAGACTATAATTCCCAACATCCCTGACCACTGGTCTTGCGAGCTAGGGATGGTGGGAGTTGTAGTCCGAAAACAGCTGGGGACCCAAGACTGGGCAACACCGCTAAGCAAGGCCTCTGCAGCTCAGAGCTGGCCAGTTACTGAACCATGTGATAGTTCTGTAGGAAGCCTGGTCACATGGTTGCATCACAGAGCAACATTGTGATGACACAGTTACTTACAGGAATAAGGCAGGTGTTTCCCAAATCCCATAGGTGTACTCCTTTTTAAATACGATTATCAACCTCGCCCTTTTTATTTTGATCATCATCGTCTTGTCACCCTGATCAATGGACCAAACGGAATAGTAAATGTGGGTTAGGGGTTGTGGGGTTGTACCTGCTAGTCCCATTCCTGACCTCCATTAGTTGATTCTGCTCTTCTGTGCAGAGTCAATGTGTCTACCGCATGCATATGCAAAGACCCCATGAAGAAGAGATGGGCCCACTCATGCAGATCAGCATCAGGACCAGCGGTCAAAATGTTGTATCTCACACATGCCTGCCCCTTGTCTTGGCCAACTTAACAGGGCTTATATTTTCTTTACAGCACCTTGAGGGGACCTGTGGCCCTTCAGATACTGTTGGCCAAAAGCTCCCATCACTCCAATCATTGTCTCTGCCGGCTGGGACTGATGGAGTTCCAACAACATTTGGGAGTGCTACTGGTTCCCTAGCCCTGTTTCAGAAGGCAATACTGGGATGGAACATTTGTAAAAAACCTGCTCTGGAGAATGTGAGCTGCTGGGAAATGGAGGCTCTTTATCTTCCCTTCCCATTCACACCACGCCTCCTTTGAGCGGCAGGCAGGCAGGCGAGGCCATTGTTAAGGGAAAAGGCCAGCAGGGCTGTTTCTTGAGGCTCTGGTGGCCTCTCTGGTGTGGAGTGCCTGCCATCAGCTCCAACTGTTAGCCCAGATTAATAATAAAGTAGGTGCTCTTGCTTTTTGTGGTTTTACGAAGTAGCAATCTAGTATTGAAAAGAAAAAAGCTTTTCCTGACATGGAGATGTCTAGTGGGGGAAAGTAGGTAAAGGTAAAGGGACCCCTGACCATTAGGTCCAGTCGTGACCAACTCTGGGGTTGCGGCACTCATCTCGCTTTACTGGCCGAGGGAGCCAGCGTACAGCTTCCGGTTCATGTGGCCAGCATGACTAAGCCACTTCTGGTGAACCAGAGCAGCACATGGAAATGCCGTTTACCTTCCCGCCAGAGCGGTACCTATTTATCTACTTGCACTCTGACGTGCTTTCAAACTGCTAGGTTGGCAGGAAGTGGGGGAAAGTATAACCTGCTAAATTTCCATGCCAGCTCTACTTTTTTTAATAGGACGAGGGAGATGGAGCAGGTGAGGCGAATTTATGAAAGGTGAGTTCTCAAGAACGAAACGGAGGAAAGTGATTGGCTGTTGGGAACAGAAGCAGGCTGGGATTGATTCCGTTCCATCTATAAATACTTCGGACAGGAGTCACACGAGTCAGTCTCATCAGAGGCTCCATGCAGTGAGTAACCGAGTCCCAAAGAAGGGCAGCAATCCCACAAGAAGTGACAATGATTGAGGTTATGACGCCTGTAGGAACACAGGCCCCAGTTCCTAGGAGAAAGAGGCCAGGCCGAGGCAAGAGAGGAGAAACTCGTTTCCCCGAAAAGTCGTCAATAATTACGAGGTCAATGCAAAGGAGGAGAAGCTTGAATCCTGGTAAGACCATCAAGTCCCTCCCTAATATCTCAGGGCTCGTTGTCCAAGCGATTGCCGCAAGTGCCTCGAACGGCCTCACCCTCACAGAGCTGAAGGAAGTGCTCAGCGCCAAGGGCTACAATGTGAGGAGGCAAAGCCCCAGAACTCAGAGGAAAATGCACGCCTTGGTGTTGAAAGGCGCCGTGGTGCGCATGACTCACAGCGATGGCTCAAAGTTTTTCGTCATCAGGAAGCACCAGAGCAAGGCCAGCAAAATATGTGCAAACCCCAAAAGGACTGCCGGGGCGAGGAAAGTCCGAGTTGGGCGAAGGCATGGCGCACGCACTGGCACAAAAACGAAAGGAGAAGCGGAGCAAGCCAAGAGCTCTGCAGATAAGATGGTAGAGGCTCACCAGAAACTCCGAATCCCCAACAGGAGGAGACGATGCCCCAGGAAAAATGGCTCTGCCCGGAGGTCGCAGAGGATTGCCGAAAAAGCTGCTTCTGGCACGTCTGACAACTCGGATAGCAAAGCCGAAGATCAGCGCTGTTCCAGCAGGAGTGCTGCATCTGCTTTGAAGACCACCAGGAACCTCAGGAGCAGGCCTGCCTCTGCGGAGAAATCGAAAAGGGCTAGCAGCAAAAGCACTTCGGAAAGGTCAAGGTCTTCTAAGAGCAACAGCACAGCCTCTCCGAAAGGTGTGGGGAAGCCCTACAGCAAGGAAACACCCAGTGCAAAGAAAACAAGGTTCTGCAGGAGCAGAGATGTTTCCTCTGCCAAAGAACAAAACCCCAAGAGGAAAGCTGTGTTTCCCCCACGAAGGCCCAAGCGCAGAGCTAGACGAAGGAGATAGCAGTACCAAAGCCCAAGGCAGGAAAGGCCTTACAAAGGTTGCATTTTGCTAATATAGATGTGTGTCTTTTTTTCAGAACTATGTAAAATTCAATAAAGATAACTAATAAGCCCAAACAAGCAGCCTGCAAGAACGGTTTTACTGTCTTATGAGCCAGAGTATTTTATCTGTTCATAGGTATTCATAACTATCCATAGGCAGCCAGAGTATTTTATCTGTTCATAGGTTTCGATTCAAAGTCATGGCCACTTCCGAAGACCCCCCCGGATCAGGCCAAAGGTCCATATATAGTCCAGCTCCCTGTTCTCACTGCAGACCCTCCAAGTGTCCCTATTTTCCAGGGACAGTCCCGGATTTACAGAAGCCATCCTGGTTTCTGATTTGATCCCAGAATGTCCCGCTTTTCCTTAGGACGTCCCTATTTTCACCTGATGAATATTGGAGGGCATGGAAGGATGTCCCTATTTTCATCGGAGAAATGTTGGATGGTATGGAGCTAAGTGACCCCCGAGCCAAGGCAATAAGTAACTATACAACCTTTAGAAGACATTTGAAGGAAGTACTGTATAAGGAAGGTTTTTTTTAAAAAACGTTTAATGTTCTATTTTTATATACTAGAAGCTTCCCAGAGTGGCTGGACCAACACAGTCAGATGGGCAGAAAGAATATAATAATAATAATAATAATAATAATAATAATAATAATAATAATAATAATAATAATAGATAGATAGATAGGATGTCCCTATTTTCATCAGAGAAATGTTGGAGGGTATGAAAATATCTCTCCCTCTCCCCTGCCCTCACTCTCCAGCCCCGTGCAAACCCCTTCCTCTCACACTTCCGGCTCCACCCCACCCTCCCAAAAGACAGCCATGTTTTTCTAGGGGCGGGTGGCAGCCCTAGCGTGAGCCCACACCATTTTGCAGTCCTGTCTCCCCTCCTCCTCCTCTTTCAGAAGTGGCAGCCATTTTGTGTTATGCCACACATTCCACAGTAGCCATTTTGTGGCTGCTGCCTGTTGCGCTCTCCTGACATTCCAAATGGGCACACTGGCCCTAAAAGCTTGGTGGTCTCTGGGTTGCCATTTAGGTACCATCTATCAGTACTCAGTATCTGTGCTTTTATTATTGCAAGGAATGCCCTTCTGTCCCCCACTGTTAAACATGCCACAGGTTTAACAACGGTAGCTGCTTGCAGCAAGGAAACGGAGGGAACACATCCACTCAGATTGCTTGTTTTAAAACAATGAGCAATAATGGTGTTTAAGGGTTCCTGAGTGTCAGGGGTTTGCTGCGAATCCTTCCAACACATCCTTTTTGCCCTGCGTATTGGAGGTGCCAGCAACTTCCTTGGCTGGTTGCAATAGCACAGGTAACTTTTGAGTGAGTGCTGTGAAATGAGAGAGGTGAATATTTTCCCTGATACTGATAGCTCCTTGTTGCTATCAGTGAGTGCACATTTTGCCATTGTAGCGTAATGGTTAGAGCAGGGGTCAGCAAACTTTTTCAGCAGGGGGCCAGTCCACTGTCCCTTTGACCTTGTGGGGGGCCGGACTATATATTTTTTGGGGGGGGGGGATGTATGGATTCCTATGCCCCACAAATAACCCAGAGATGCATTTTAAATAAAAGAACACCTTCTACTCATGTAAAAACACGCTGATACCTGGACCGTCCGCAGGCCGGATTTAGAAGGTGATTGGGCCGGATCTGGCCCCCGGGCCTTAGTTTGCCTACCCATGGGTTAGCGTGTCAGACAAAGACCTGGGAGACAATGGTTTGGATCAACACTCAGTCATGAAGCTCACTGGGCGACCTTGGGCCACTCATTGTCTTAGCTAAACCCACCTTACAGGGTTGTGGGGGGGATGAAATTGGGGGAGGGGACCGCATACACCACTGTGAGCTCCTTGGAAGAAAAGCGTGGTGTATAAATTTAATAAATCAATAAAATCAGTATTGATGAGTGCCACAATCAGGGCATAGCTGACTTCCCATAGTAAGCCTAAGGTAGCTGCTGTGGGTGACTCTAATTTTGTGTTATGTCATGCTCCCCACGGCAGCTATTTGGTGACAGACGCCCCCAGCACACACTCAAAATTTGAAGTGTGTCCATTGGTCCAAAAAGGTTGGCAACCCCTGCTCTATGATTCATGTTTCCCTTTGCTCCCTTCCCCCCGCCCTAAACTACAAAGGCTCAAAAGCTGTACCTTTTCCTCCTAGGGGGAGTTGTTCTCACTCCCTGATAATTTCAGTTTCTCTTTTCTTTCTGCCATTTTAAGTGGTTGCAATTACTGATCAAAAGGCTGCATCTGAGACCGTGGAAAGAGGAAAATCTGTGCTGTATGCATCTGTATGCAAAACCCCAAATAGAAGGTTTTGCCTGGAAATGTAGGCTAAACTACTTGTATCTTGTACATGAACTTGCATTGGTTCTTATCAGTAGTGGTTCTTAGCCTGATCACAGAATGATGATGATGATGATTTCAACTATGCTGAAATGGCAAAGATGACCGTGAAGATCAGGCACCAAGACGATAAAAATTAGTCAAGAGTAGGAAAAGTTTATAGAATATCTTAAAGACCACTGTAGATACTAAAAAACGTTAGCAGGATTGTTGTAGCATTTGTAATACGAGTTAAGGTAAAAAAGGAGATAAAATGGATTAGAAAAATGTAATTGGAAACCGGGGGGGGGAGTTCAAGGGATCTAAGTAATCCCATAAGTGTAGAAATTGAAAATTATATGAGTGTATAAGAATATTGTTTTAAAAAATGAAATAATAATAATAATAATAATAATAATAATAATAATATTGTACGCCACCCATCCACTGTATTCCATGTGTTGACAACATTGTGGCTGGATTACTGCAACATGCTCTACATTGGGCTGCCCTTGGACCTGGTTCAGAAGCTCCAGCAGGTTGCAGAAGGCAGCAGCTACACTGATGATGAAGGCACATACCTGACAACATGTGACACATCCACTACAAGCCAGGCTCAGGGTCCTTATATCAATTTACAAAGCCCTGAACAGCTTAGGTCCAGGGATACCTTAGGCACCACCGCCTGACTGACACCTTATATCCCAGCTTGATCACCGAGATCACCTGCTGGAGTGTCATTGGTCATTCCACAAGTTGGCAAGGCTAACCTCATAGTCACACGAAACTGAGTGACTTGAAACATTGCCCCTTCCTGTGGGATACTTTTCCAACAAAGAATCAGCAAGCACCTTCTGATTTAACCTTTAAACATACACTGAAAACTCTTCTATCCCTCCAAGCTTCCGCAGACAATTAAGAAAACATATTTCTGCAATAGTAATAATATTATAATATAATAATTTTATTATTTATACCCCACCTATCTGGCTGAGTTTCCCCAGCCACTCTGGGCAGCTCCCAATCGAGTGTTAAAAACAATACAGCATTAAATATTAAAAACTTCCCTAAACAGGGCTGCCTTCAGATGTCTTTTAAAAACAGGATAGCTGCTTATTTCCTTGACATCTGATGGGAGGGCGTTCCACAGGGCAGGTGCCACTACCAAGAAGGCCCTCTGTCTGGTTCCCTGTAACCTCACTTCTTGCAATGAGGGAACTGTCAGAAGGCCATTGACGCTGGACCTCAGTGTCCGGGTTGAATGATGGGGGTGGAGACGCTCCTTCAGGTATACAATAACTGAAGATCTCTTGTTTTAAAATTTCTAGGGGGGTTTTTTTTAATTGTATATGTGCATGGTTATTGTAATCTGCTTTGGTTTTTTTTAAATGAAAAGCAGAACACAGTGCAAATGACTTTATAAATAAATATATGAACACAGACTTGATAGTTCTCACTCAGAATAATATGCCCTTTTTTCCTTATTGGATAAATCAGAATCTCATTCCTTATTGGTTTACAGGCCTTGACCAATCAGATTTAGGAAGGCTTATTCCCTCCCTGCCCCACTTTAAAGTCATAACATGCACACGGTGCTTTTGCTGTAGAGCAGGATGGAAAGCAGAATTGTGTCTGCTTGTGGCACGACCAGGGGGGAAATGAGAGTCAAGACAAGGACTCAGTCCACAAGGGCAAGGTTGCAGTTTCCAGTGGTTAGAGTACACAGGCTGCTTCAGAAAGGGAAGTAAGCAAAGCAAATTGAAGCAGGAGCCCCTGTCTATCTGGCTGCAGTCCTGGAATATCTCAGTGCTGAAATCCTGGAGCTGGCTGGCTAAAAGCAGTGAATTATCCTACACCGCATCCACCTTGTTGTGCAGAATGATGAGGAGCTGCAGAAACTGGTAGGAGGAGTTACCATTGTGCAGGGTGATGTTCAAGCTTTGCTACCGTCAGCAAAACTGAAAAGATGATGAACACAAGCAGTGGTGAAGCTGCTGGATCTTCCAGTGCGACAGTAAAATCCGGTCATGTCCCTGTCAAAGGACAATGAAGACATTTTTCTGCATGGTGTCAGAAAACGCAGAGGCTCTTTTCAGAGCCAATCCAAATCTTTCTAAGAGCTAGAAAAGAAGTAGTGTTGAAGACTCATTTTCCATAACTGATGAGTGAAAAGTCCCTCTGGCTGCAATTGTACCCCCAATTGCTTTGAAGTTCCATTGAAATCTTTGCCTGTATGTATAGGATTCTGCTGCTGGACATGTTTCAGATTTTATTTTATGGATATTGTAGAGTTGGAAGGGATCATGAGGGTCATCCATTCAAACCCCCTGTGATGCAGGAATCTTCCCCTACGTGAGGCTCGAACCTATTACCCAAAAATCAAGAATCTCATGCTCTACCAGCTGAGCTAAACCTTGTAGTTACGGTAATTATATAATATTTGGAACAAAAGTACAGGGCTAATAATTTACGTCACCTCCCCACTTCTCTAATTACTTTTTTTTTACTTTTGTCTACTGATATTGGAAATGACCATTTTCAAAAGGCTGTGGTTTGGAGAGGATTTTTTTGGTTGTCAGAAATAAAGCCAGTGTGTCTTCATTTCATGGGTGTAGCCAGGGAGGGCAGGGGGGACAGTTGCCCCCCCCAAAAAAACCAAGCAAGTAAATAAAAATACTTAACTAAAAGTAGATATTGCAGCAATTTTACAGAATTTTCTGAGCAC